CATATACATGGCAAAAATTTGTCTCGGGCACCACTGGGCATCTGGGGCACCTAGACACATGCATCGAGGCTGCCCCAACACGCTGTAATTACACACTAGTAATTACCATGCTGCAGCAGACTCCAGTGTCATGTGTATCGGTACTGCACTGAAAAATGCTAGTTAGACGAGCTTTAGTTAAAGCACCCCAGCTGCCATTTTTCAGCACAGGGATGCTGATGCACATGATGCTCTGGGTGCTTTAATTAGAGGGGCTCCAAGAGCAGGCACTTTAATTAGAGTGGCTCTTGATGCCACTCTAATTAAAGCACCCCCCCCACCCTCCTAGAGCATGTGTGTAAACACTCCTATTGCCCAGTTTTGAGCCTATTGCCTCCTCCTCCTCTTTGGGAGGGCAGGCAGTTTGCAGAGATACTCCAGGGGAAATAGGAGGCCATCACAGCTGGGACTGGCAATAACAGCCTTACCTGCTGCTGATCGGTGCACAAGGGGTGGCTATAATCAGCCATCTGAGTGACACATCTGTGTCATCACAGATCAAAGATCAAAGTCACTAATGCCACCAGCAGTCTGTCTCTGTTTGCTCTCCCCGGTATGTCTTAAAAGTTTCCGATGAGGTTTATTATACAGTAGTTGGTGGATGTAGGACACAAGGTTCAGATTCACAGCAGGATTTGCATCTAGGTGTTTCCCTAATATAATTAAAACATTTGTCCACTTCTGTGCAGGGCATTAGGCCTCAATGATATCATTTTTTTGATAAGCAATTGAATGGGCTTTGGCCAAGGCTTGGATGTTATTGTGTTGGAGACCAGGCTGATTCAAAACAGGTGCAACCCACTTGGTGGAGAGCAGGTAATTGTTTCACATGGGAAGCATTTATTGACTCTAGGTTATTCCAAACCACTGACCACAAAGTTCCCAGTTAGTCAAGGTGTGCAGCCCAGCAACAGCCAAGATGTCCTTGGATGGCATTAAATTTGACGCACATAAAATTTCAGCTGTAGAGCTGAGGGATCTGCTCCCACCTTAAGGAGATGAACATCTTTGCAATCGCAGGGTCTGCAGGAACATCAGACACCCCATCCACCGTGCCGGCTGTCTGTGGCAGGCAAGGCAGTGAGGGTGCAGGGATAAGCATTGCAAACCTCACTTTCTGAAAAGCATTTCAAGACAATGCAATGGATTCTGTGCACCAAAGTTAGTGGGTTTGCAAGCCTGAATTTGAATCCAGAGCTGTGATATGTTTTATTATACTGTGCTAGCCAAAAGAATGGAGGTAGGGTAACATGAGAAAGGCTAGATCTAATAAACCCTAACCACTTTCCTTCTGCAATGGCAGCACTGGGCGTAGGGGTGGGTAGAAAATAGTCCTCCCATCCTGTAGATTCTTTCACAAGTGCTATCCGAAAAGAGTCAGAAGTCCAGTGAGTTGGGATCTCCACTAGGTTGCCCTTGATTTGCTTGATTCAAAGCAGAGACTTGAACCTAGGTTCCCTAAATCCCAGCTGTATGCCCTAAACAGTGAGCTGGTCCAGGCAGTTCCTACAGAATGGTTTTTTTTAAGGAATTGACATTTTCCAACCAAAAAAACCCAACCCAAATATTTTGTCACAGAACTTCTGATCAGCTGAGAAGCTGAGGGCCTAAAATGATCCTGTTTGTTTTCTCTTGCTTTCCAAACCAATCCTAGGAAGGTGACTGCTTGCCATCCCACAACTACGTGAAGGAGAAAGGAGCTGCAAGAGGTGATTCCAGGACATCTTGGAGGTTGGACATATAGCAAGCAAGACATACCATTTCGTACAGAGAGGTGATGGATATGCACTCCGTGAACCAAGGAGATTGTTATTATGGACATGAAGTCACTGGGTTTGCTAAGGGTGGTTTTTTTTGCTGGGCTTGAAAAAGCCAAAATGGTGAGATGCTTTTGACATTCACACCATGGAGCGATTGTGCAAACCCCCAAAGATGCCTACATTTCATGTCATCTTAAATAAAACACAGCTTTCAACCAGCCTTGTATAATTCTAGTTACCCAATAAACTGGGGCAGGTCATTCTCTGGGCTGGGCAAGTAGAGAGTATTTGAGTTTTTCGGTTGCCATCATTTTAGTAAATGGACAAGTAGATTTCTCCCTGGGGCTGATACTGTTTTCATGCTGATGTGTCGAGGCCATCCTAGATCGCTACCACAAATGGCTAGACCCTGAGACAAATCAGAGTCACGCCAAAATGTCACTTGAACAATGCGTTGGCTGTCTTTGCAGTTGGCTAATTGCTTTCGTCCAGGCTCAGAGTGGGTATGTGCTCAGCATGGAGAAGTCATCAGAGCTTTCTGAAGCCCAATCCCAGCTCTGCCCCCATATTTGTTCTGTAACTTTGGACAAATCTTCCATCTTCTTCCTCCTTTGGATTCCCACCTCTTTCTTTCGTATGGTATCAGATATCAACTTCCAAATCTATGTGCTGCTGTCCAGTATTATCGCTCAATGTTTCCTGCCTGTAATAAAGGGATAATACTTGCCTCCCAAGTAAATTCATTTTATGTTAGCTAATTTCATTGCACTGGAGAAAATGCCAAACATTCCTAAAATGTCTTTCATGGCCAGATCATATGAAGACATGCTGGAAATCATTGCCTCTCCTTGGGAAATCTCCAGCCAGGTTTCTAGATCAAAGTGTCTTGGATACATTGAATAATTTGAAGGGGCTGCCAAATTAGGTGCCAGATGATGAGGTTGGATAGCTGCATTAAAGGCAGAGGGTTAGTCTTCTGGATCCAATAACACCAGTGTTTCACTGTGCCTGATGAAAAGAATGGAGCCTTTCAGACATAAATGATGAGGTAGGATGATAACTTCTCAGAGGAACTGCCCTTTATCATAAGCGGGACAAAGTGTGTGATGCTGCAGTATCTGATGCACATGTATGCGAGGTTAGCTTAGATGCACATGTATGCGAGGTTAGCTTAGATCTTCTTATAGCATTTCAGTTTCATAGTTTCATAGTTTCTAGGGTCGGAAGGGACCTGAGCAGATCATCTAGTCCGACCCCCTGCCATGGCAGGAAGAGCACTGGGGTCAAACGACCCCAGTAAGGTGGACATCCAACCTCCTCTTAAAAACCCCCAG